ATTTCTGCCACAATACCACAGTTACTACAGTAAATCCATTGTAGGCCTAAATGTAGGTGATTTGTGGATTGAAAAGTATTCTAACTGCATCGTTGTTGCACAATGTTCCTCCTGTTTTCCGTGTCAGTGTTGCTGAGAATGTTAACGCCGTTTCATCTGCCTTTAAAGTAGTTTAAATCACCGCGGAATCTGTGGTTTGCATCGGAAACCTCTGCTCCAAATGCAAACGCTTCTCACAGCGCTGTTTAATGGTAGCGTGATCGAGACCTGTCAGCAAGAAAATACATCTGATCTGAGCTCGCGCTGTGCTGTCTTTAGGCAGAGCTAATAAAGATCTGTGCAGCGTGCTTCAAACGAGTCACGCTCTTCCTCTTTTTTTGTGCGTTTAGGAATTCTCGTGCGCGAAAAAAATGGGCAGTGCATAGGAGTTATGAAATTGTTATCACTCGCCGTTTACTGCTACATCTGGTCTAAAATGTAGTGCTTTCACCTTATGTCACATTGTGAAACTGCATATTTTGTAAATTATGCTTGGCGGGCCACATTTAATACATTTTAATAGACGAGCTGCGGGCCGTTTGAAATTCATCCATGGGCCAAATTTGGACACCCCTGCCTACTATGGAAGTCAATGAGGACCAACAACAGTTTGGTTCTTCAAAATATCTTCTTTTGTGTTCAACATAAGACAGAAACTTACACAAGGTTTGGAACGACATGAGGGTGAGCAAGTGATGACAATTTTCATTTTTGGAAATGCTCCCAGTTGTTGGGAGATTGATAAAATATATTTTTACGCTCTCCAACAACTGAGATTTGGTGGTTTTGACAATTTTGAATGGAATATTTTTGACAAAACAATTACAAAAATAATTTAATGAAAGTAATAATATGGAATTCTAGTAAAACACAAAGCAATATAATCCGCAAAACATGTTAAAATAGTTGGAAAAAAGAAGATAAACACCTTCTAGAGTTTGAAATAATGTCGAACCTCAAATAAATGTCGAGGATCACATGCAGCAAACTCTTCCAACACATTACTTTGGAAGGAAGCTACATCATGTCAGGAAAGATAGTCATGCTAACAAGTTAATCAAATATTCAGAGCGAGGGCAAAGGCTTCAAATAAGACATATCATGCTTATTTAACCAAGCTATAAGAATCCGGTTCAACCAGACATCCAAAACAATCGTTTTTCTTGGAATAACCTTGGGGGAGGAAGTCAAAGTGTTTGAGAACTTCTGTAGAACACCACAAGAAAAAAAAGAGGACATTATAAACCTCAAAAAGGACTGGAATTACAAGAATAAACGCAGGGTTTCTGCAGGTTTTTACGATGGCAATTTCAAGACTTTAGGACCTTTTTAAGACCAAATAAAGATTTAAAGAATAAACTGAAGGGAACGCAATACATCAATACATTGTTTAAAGGTAAATGTCTACGGAGCAAACAAAGAGTTGTTTTAGAAACACTTCAACATTTGAAAGTGCAACTTCCAACTAGGGATGTGTGGGTCTAGTCGACTAGTCGACAAAACGGTACAGCTCCTACTAGTCGACACTGAAAACAATAGTCGATTACACGACAGAAAAAAGAAAAAAAAACATGATTTTATCATTCAAATTACCGTTTGCATTTAAAACATTTTAAATAACAAGTTAAAATAAAACGTTTGAAAAATAATACATTATTTGTAAAAGTTTATCTGGGCGGAAACTAAATTTTTACCTCAGACCTCACATGCGTTTTCTTCGTGTCAGTTGCGG